GGGGTTAGGTTTCCCTTTTTAGCTTGTAAAAATGTGAATATTTCTTTGTAGAGACAGGACAGACAGCAAAGCTTTTGTACCGCTTGTTTTTTAACCTGAATATTGGTCGGGATTTAGACCATTTGGTGTTCTGTTAGGGTGAGAAATAGTGGATCTATGCGCGGTGAGTGGTGAGCGGTGAATGGTGATTTTCTTCTGCTTATCATGTAAATATGGGCACGAATTTTGCGGTTGGCAAATGTGGCTGTAAATGAGTCTAGTGAGCTTGAGCTTAGGGTGCTCAAGTTTGTGCTCGAGCCCTTAGAGTATGCTTGAATACAAAATTATTTCAAAAAAATTCAATCATTTTTAACTCAACAACTTTTTTAACTCAACTTTAACTCAACCCCACTATCATCAATATTTTACTATAATTAAATAATATCAACCAATCATTTATACACACCACATCAACCTTAATTCACTATTCATCCACTCACATAATTTAACTAACCATCACTTCAAATCATATCTCTCATACTTTTATATCAAATCAACTTTAATTATTATATTTTAAATATTATTTTAATATACCCACTAACAACTAACCATCTAACATTTTTCAAAATTAACCAAACTAAACCAAAAAATCCAAACAAATCCAAAAATTTTTATATCCAAGCATCCCCTTAATGACCCGAGCTGAGCTGAGCTCATTAGAAATCGAGCTCGAACTCGGCTCCTGTTATCACTATTAATGAGTCGTTTTCAAACCTTAACGAGTCGATCTCGATTTTTAACTCGCGCTTATTGAAAATTATATAAAAAATGTTTTTGAAGAGCTTTATTGAGTCGAGTTAAATGAACATTAAGAGCATGATTGGATACAAAAATTTCTCAAAAAAATCCAAACATTTTTAACTCAATCACTTTTTTAACTCAACTTTAACTCAACTCCACTATCATCAATATTATCAATATAATTAAATAATATCAATCAATCATTCTTATACACCACATCACCTTAATTCACTATTCATCAACACACATAATTTTAACTAACCATCACTTCAAATCTTCTCCCTCCTACTTTACATCAAATCAACTTTAATCATTTTATTTTAAATATTATTTTAATATATCCACTAACAATTAAGCATACCAATTTTTTCAAAACTAACCAAACCAAACAAAAAAATCCAAACAAAACCAAAATTTTTTATATCCAATCATCCTCTAAATGAGCTCGAAGTCGATTCGATAAGGGCTAGAACTAGTCGAGTCAGACTCGTTTAATTCAACAACACAACCTATCATTAGACAGCCGTTACTTTCTTACAAAAAAAAAAAATAAATAAATTTACGAACTTGTCATTTGAGTAACTTGCCGAAATATGAGTGGCTACATGAGAAATTAAATGTGCCTTTTAGAATTGGTAATGGTCCATTTTAATTCTTACAATCCAAATTTATATCAACTAATCGACCTTATCATATCTGATTAAAGAACACTTGTTCTGAGATTTAGGCATATTTAATGGAAAATTCATTATCTAGGAGGAAAGAAAAAGTTTTGGGCCTTTGATGTTGAAATGAAGCCATTCGGCCCACTCATGGAACCAACCACTGGGCTTTGCTCAGTCGACGTGCCTAGATTCTCGCTCTTCTTTTACATCGTGCAGGGAATGGAAGCCCATTTTCGTCAATTCACGTCACACGAGGGCGGTCTCCTAAAAAAGGACCAAACATCTTTGACGCTTTTCTTTCAGTGGCATTTCCGTCTTTTCGCTCATCTCTTTCATTGAAAATAAATAGCTATTTTTTTTAGAGTAATGCTATAGGTACATAATATTGTACATAACACTCACATCTAGTGGGACCTACCAAAAATAAAAAATCAAGTAGACC